GCTTTTTTTGGCAGCTGCTGCACACGGCCGGCTCCTATTTAAATGGTTGTCCACTAGGACCCCAAGATCCCTCTCACAGTCACTACCGTTGAGCCAGGTACCACCTATCCTGTACCTGTGCACTTGGTTTTTCTTGCCTAAATGTACAATCTGACTTTTTTCACCCTTGAATTTCATTTTGTTAGATTGCACCCAATGTTCAAGTCTGTCAGGATGAGTTCCCCATCTTTCAACTTTTATCTAATTTCATTGAAAGACGTTCACTTCTTTAAGGCCTGAAAACTTTCCCTTCCCAACTGCCCCCCACCCATAGAGTAAGACCATCTCTCTTAAATCTCCAACATCTCCTGGTTGGAGGAGCTAAGACAGGCTCCCGTCATAAATCTGCAAGTGTCACTGTGGGACGTGGTGACCTTCCTGAGCATCTGAACCCACAGCCTGACTCAGTTAAAAACAATTTCCTAAGCTTGCATATTTCCAGCACTGTTGGAAGGTGATCTGCTCTAAACCTCAACCATGATGCAATTCACTGAGCCTTTAAAATTGTAAAGTATTGTTCGGAATAGTCTTGGGAAAAGTTTTTATTTTTACAAGTCAGAAAAAAAGCTGTGCATAAAAGCCTGTGGGCTATTTGCTAAAGGCTCAGTTTAACAGAGTAATGTGTAAAATAGGAAGTCCATTAAATCAGAATGTCCATTAAATCTGAAAGAGAATCTAATCTACTACTTGGAACTATTTATTTTTACAAGTCAGGTCTCTCCTGGTACAGAAAAAATCCTTGCCTGAAAGCCCTTTTTGCCTGTTGGGGCAATTTGTGAAACAGGTCTTAAAGGACAAATTGGAAACGCTGAGTTTAACAGACTAGGGGTTCGTTAAATCAGAATGTCCATTAAATCTGAGAGGATTTAAGCTACTATTTCAAACAGTTAGGAAAAAAGTTTTATTTAACAAGTCAGATCTTCGCTGTTAACAGAGAAATCCTTGCATGAAACCCCTTTGGCTATTGGCTGTTTGTATTGACGTTTGGTGAAGTAGAATAGTGTAGTAGTAACATAAAACTTCAAACTTTTATATACTAGTCATTTCTATAACAACAATTCTAACTTATCAGCAAAACCCAAAATCAAAGTTTCCCCTTTTCCCCCCTGTGCCTCAAAGACAAAGTCCAGAAGCTGTTTCCAAGTAAAATCAAAATTAATTGTATTCTTCTTCTTTTTTAAAATCAAAGCAGTCAATTTAGCCCTAAACTTTGGCAGTCGTTCGTCCACTGTAGCAATCAAAACGTCCTTCCATTTTTGTGCAGAAAGTATTCTTGCTACCATCAACATATACTGGTATACACAAAGGTACGTCAACAACCATTTGTGTATAGAATAGAATAAGAGAGTTGGAAGGGATAGGCAGGAAACCCCACACCACTTCAGATAGATGGCTGAGCAAGGTACCACCTATACTGGACTTGTGCATTTTCTCTTGCCTAAATGTAGAGGCTTACTTTTTTCACCACTGAATTTCATTTCTAATTTCAAATTAAGACATACCCAGTTCCTGCAACCGTTATTTATGTGTTTTAGCCTCCAGTCCCCTCATC